TCATCTGGAGACTCCGCTGAGCCGCTCAGAGCCGTCGACTGTTGTGATCCGTACATCAACTGAAACATTATAATACTTATATTGAAAAACATATAAAAACATCACTTTCATTTTGTAAAATAGAATAAGTACAAATTCACCGTTATACAACTAGAATACATATAGTAAATTGATGGTGGAAATATTAAAAAATCAAATTATTGCTTTCTTTTCCACAAAAAAGAAAAACAAAATTAACATTGAATAACCAACACCCAACATAAAAAAGGTTAAACGGCAAAAGCTTTGGGAAGAATTAAAATAAAAAAATAAAAAAAATAATTGAAAAAATAAAAAGTGCAAATACCTTTACATTGCAACAATGCTGAGCATTTCTGTATCGGTATTGCGGCGACATCTGTGCGCAAGCGAGCGAAACATAAAATCAAAAAAACATGGACGCAAACAAAAAAATATTAGCAAAAAAATGTTAAAACACAAAAAAAGCAACTAAGATTCGTAAAAAAGACACTGATTAAAGTCTAGATTTAAACACAATTTTTTTTACTTTATTAGTAAACTTTTTTGATTTAATACTAGTTTTAATATTAAAAAAAAAACTCTATTTAATAATTCAAGATTTTTTTAGCTTATCTTTTAAATTTATTGTAATTAAAATGTACAATTTGTTAATTTTTTTAGTCCACCAATGTTAACAAGCACTTTTTTCTAAATTGACAACATATATTATTCACTGATACAATTTATTTATAACAAAATGCAAAGAAATACCAACCTTCTGTTCGTTGTTCATAGAGGCTACATTATCGTAATGCCTCTCCGTAGGTGCGTCTTTTAGGAACTGATCCAAATAACTCATTTGAGACGGTGGCCGATCCAAAACTGAAAAAAGCATAACGCACTTTAGCACCAATTAAAAAACAAAAAAAAGAAAACACATAAACCAATCCCCAACCGAAACCACGTTCACAAAAAATTATAAAAATGGTGGCAAGTACAGACGAGCACAAAAGTGTTACGAATTAATTTCGTTAACATTTCCGACTGATTTTAAAAACACTTTTACACTCGAATAATGAACATATTTAGTGGACATATCTCCAACTACGTACATGCACTGGACATATACAAAAGACGATATACTAAGTCACCATTCACACAATATCAGTGTTATAATACATAAAGTAAATGTTTACATAATACACGACCTGTGTTTATCCTAGATGCTACATAGCTTAAGTTAATCATTAAGTTATAACAGTTAATTCTCCACAACTATAATAACTTGGTTACATATTGAGAATCACGCAGATATTTAAAATTTAAGATAACTAACCCAAAAGAAAGACAAGGCTACACAATTTTTAAAATTTGAAAAACAAATAACTATCAAGTATTTAACACAAAAAACTATGTGAATGGTGAACATTGGCGGTATTATGGTAGGAAGGGTTTACAAAAAACTAGGAGTAAACTATACAATTGAGAAAACAATATTAGTCAGACCTATGGGTATACAAACAAGTGTTAAAGAAAAAAAAAACCATCGCTTAGCACGTTATGTGGTGGTTATGGTATGGACATTTGCGGATGAGATGAAAAAAAAAACAAACACTTTTGTATGAGATTGTACTAGTTTAAAATAAAAGCTTGTTGGTTTCAAAATAATATTTTAATGCAAAAAAATCTAATAATTTCTCTCCTATTTTAATTTAATCGACAAATTTGGTATTGCAAAAAAATCTTGTAAAGTCTTGAGGTAGTAACCGTGTATTCTCATTGACCGACTTCCCAAAAGAGGTACTCAATTTGTATGTATGTTTTTTTTTTCATATCTTTTACTTAGAGGTATACAAAATACATTTCGTATATTGTTCAATGTCACATCCACGCCACCGCAAAAAGCTAAAGCACAAGCGAAGCGATTTACATGGAAAGAAGTATCGATAAATGGAGTAATTAAAAAAAAATGTATACCACTGTTTTATGAGTCTTAAATTATTTCTTTACATATTAAAAAATACCAAAATACATATAAGAAAATTTAATTAACGAAACATTTTAGTAAACATTGAGCTAAAATGTATTTTTAAGCACAATCCCATTTTTTTTTTCAAAATATTAGGATATCTATAAGCAAATTATATAGCGTATATAAGTCACATTTTAAAATGTGTAATTAGGGTTGTGACATAAATTAAATTTGGCAAAGTCGATTAAATTGAAACAATTTTTTTTTTTTAGTGTTAGGGTTGCAACCTCATTTTTTATGTGGTAATTTCTGTATTTTTAATTTTCAAATTTAATAAACTTATATAATAAAAATAGAACAAAATTATAACTTCAAGACTCACAAAACAATGGTCGTGCGTTTGGATTTTTTTGTTTTTTACACTTGCTCGTACTTACAAAATATACTCCGAAAGTAAAAAAAATTATAAACTCCGCACAAAGGCAAGAAATCTATTAGAGCTTTATATTAATACAATCTCTGTTGTTAAAAAAAAAATTCAAAAATATACTGTGAGAATGATATCGAGTGAATGACTTGAACGAATGATTTTAGAGTAAACGATAAAATATACTAAGGTGAAGAATTAAAGATTTTATAGACATGGCAAAAAGAAACAACCGTTCCATTATTAAGAAAAAAGAAATAAAAAGGAAAAAAAATCGACAAAAAAAAACAAAAAAAAATTTTTTTGGAGAATTTTTAAATATGTATCTTTAATTCTGACACAGTATCTAACACAAAATAGGCTTTTCCCGTTAAGTCGATTGATTTTACAGATTCGATCCGCCCAATGGTAAACTCCCATTGTATCGATTGACCCAACGGGAATCACCTTATGACAAAATGTAACAACAGGTACTGTAAAACACAAGAGGGGTAAACATTCACAAACAAATTACTACTTCTAATTAGACATTATAAACAAACTCTTAGACTATAAAAGAACGAACCATTCTCTTCTTTGCCGCTCCAATACGTCGAAGATTTCGCAGATCCTTGTCTAGCTGCTTGCAACAACTTTCCACTTTAATGCCCCGTACATTAAGTTCATTTTACATTAAGCGACAATAGACTAATGGTTTTTGGACTACTAAATACTATAAAACCATTTACTATTGTCTTTACAGTAATTCTACTTATGAATGTTATAGTAGTCACTAAATAAGCCCACGTTAATAATAAAAAATCATAAAAAAAAAAAACAAAAAAAAGTATACACTATACCTAAGATATCTTTTATTTTTTGTGACGATTTTTTCTAAAGCTATACGAAAAGGCTATGTGACTATTATAATATATGTTTCTTTCAGTTGAATAAAACAAACAAAATGTAACAAGGCATTACAACTTTAATATCCATTATGTACAAGAAAAATGTACTAAACAGTTCCCATAAATATATCTTATTCACATGCAGTGCGCGTGGATGGTATACAGAGAAAACAAAAACTTCAAGTAAATGCATAATAAATGTAAACTTAAAAAAAAACACAAACAGTATATAAGAAAAGTAAAAAGATTGCATTTCGACACTAGCAGCCTTTGAGGTACAAAAAATATTAAAAACAAAGATTTTTTTTAATCATGTATGTGATTAAAAAAAAATTGACTAAACACGGAAAATGGCGACAAAGACATGGGTAAAAGAATTGGAATATTTAACTTGAATTTATTTTTCGAAATTCGAAATTTTTTTTCATACATAGGTAAAAAAAAACACTTTTCTCGTTTTATACAGAAAAAATGAATCATATAAGCTGTAGTGTCGAAACATTACAAAAGATTCTCTTAAATAATAAATATAACAAACAATAAAATGCACCGAGATTCACTAAAAATGATCTAAACTGAAAAATAAAAACTTCCACGTTGTGCTTTAGAGATTGTATTTTTTAAGCAAAATAAAAAAATAAACAAAACCGTACTGCACTACATATAGGTAAACATACAGATCTGAAATTAAGACTTAAAAATGACAAGTCTTCACTTCACTTGACAAAAAATCATCTTTAAAAATAAAAAAAAATACAAATGACTAGTTCGTTTGGAAGGCGTATTTTAGAAAAAAAAAATCTTTGGTAATAGTCGTCTTGGACTAGATTTCCACTAAAAGACTAGAATGACATTATTTGGATATCAGACCCAACATTATTTAAGAAATAAAATGTTTAAACAATAGGTTTAAAGCACCAAATGAAATTTTCATTTAAAATCATACAAATGATGATATAATAAAACAGCAACACCCCATATACAAGAGGTGACGCCCAAAAACAAAGGTATATACGGCCTAAACCATACACGAACTGTCATACAAAAGCACAACACAGAAGTTATAAAGAAAAAAAAAACAACAAAATGTATAGAAAATCCACGCGACGTAAAATAAATGCCACATTAATACAGTTACGTCCATAAATGCAGTTGGTTAAAATATAAAACAAACAGAAAAGTAAAAACAAAATGTTCCATTTTTGAAATGGCGCGTTTTCGAAATCACAGTTCCAATTGCATTTTTCACAGATTAAAAATACAGATTCACAAATCGACCATAGAGTCCATAATGCCACCAATTGTGAACAGAATACAGATTATAAAATCCCGGGTAATTATTTTCGTTTTTTTCGACGCGGTCGACGTTGCCCTTTGTGGGGGGAGCCCAAAATTCCATTTGACGTCGGGGGCGAGCGTGTGACGTCACGGATACGTACAATTGCCGTTTTATTATTTGTATTGATTGGGGTGGGATTGTGCGGAACATGTAACGAAAACAAAAAGAAAAGGTGCACTAAATAAACATAATAATACTTCTGTTATACAGTATGTGCTGAAACTGGTACATATGATAAATAAATATAAATAATACTTAATACGCTACTATTTAAAAGCAAAATGGTAGCCTGAAAGCGATAAATACAATACCAAGTGAACTTGTGTGATTCCATAAAATTACAATAAACACCCATGCTTTGAAGCAAGCCCAAGCAGATTCAATGGCAGAGGTGGCGAACCATTGGTCACAAATGACACACGTCATTGGTCACAAAATTCATAATGCAGAATGAAAAACTATGAAATAGGTATCATGTGCCACGGAATATGCCACAATCAAGTCCAAATTATTTTATGTCTTTTTTTTTTATAACATAAGGTGGCAAACGAGCAAGCGGCCACCTGAAACCGCCAAAATGGTGAAGCGACCGCTGCCCATAGACATCCGCAATTGCAGATGCGTTGCCTACCCTTAAACGACGGAGGAGGAGACCCACATAAAGAGGATATTTCCCCTTTCAATGCATCTCCTCCACCGTCAAATCCACTTCCTCTTCCCAACCTCTCCTTATAAGAAAAGGGTGGTAAAGAGAGAGGGACTTAAATTAGGCCTCCGGCACCAAAGACGACCAAAGATGTCTATTCTATGACAGCATTAAAAATTTATTTAGAAAAATAGTATGCTGATAAAGGTTCGCCACCTCTATGTTACGGTAATCCATTCATTGAGACATACAGTTCCATCCACAATTACTATCGAAAATTATACTAATCTTTAAATAGAGAAAACTGCCTACATTTCAAATATTGTAGAAATCGTTTATCAATGTATCAAAGAATTATAACAGCTGAAGTATTAAATTAAAAAAAAAGTTAGCCTTTGTTACTTGAAAGAATTTTTGAAATATTCCAAGTAGTTTTTGAGTTCAATACAAAAATACAAATCTTTCCTCTTAATGTTAGCAGTATAGATGGTTTTATTTGGTTTCCACCAAAGTCGGTAAGGCAAGCTAGCAATAAAAAGAAACCAAGCAAGTCCACTGGTATGGTATGATGTGGGGGTGTGTGGGGGTGTAGGGGGTGTGTCGGGGGCGGTACTCACATGAGTTGCCGGGCTGCGCGGGCGTGTCCAGCTTGGCCTGAATGTCGCGGATGTGCTGTTCTTTGCGCTTCATGTCGTGCGCCAGGGTCTCCAGGCGCTGCCGTGTTTCCATCAGCTCCCTGGAGATAGTAACCATTAGTAATTCATCATCAACTCACTATAAGACCCCACTGAGAATCCTGTAAGTTAGGGTGAATAGGTTATAGTCAACCACGCTGTACTGCGGGTTGACTTCACACATATCTTTGAATTTCTTCGCAGATATCTGCATCACAATCTTTTCCTTCACCGTAAGAACGTCGAGTAAATTATGTACAAATAAAAGACTATACGGTATAAACACCATACAATAAAAGTTTTTCCTGAGTGCTTTCTACCATTATACGCGACAATCAAACACAACCAGTTTTCATAGAATCACCAGAGCGTGGGTTCACCACCATTCCTAACAGTAATTATAGGTATAAACCATAATTGGTTTATACCCATATTATTCTTATAACTACTGCTATGAATGGTGGTGACCACACGCGAACGCTGTGGTGATTCTAAGTGAGAATATTTATCTATACTATTATAATAAAGCAAAACACATACTTCTTTGTTGCCTAAGATGTCAGCAATTACAGCATATTTTTATATAATTCTTTTTCTAACAAAAAGCCATACACTTTCGTCACGTTTTAGATTAATATTTTCACGTCATTGAGAGGGGAAATATTTTGCATAATAACCCCAATGTGGGAAAGAGACCATAAGTCGCTGCCAACATCAAGGAAGCAAGATTGCCAAGTTTTGTCATGTCGTGTCATTTTGACATTTGCAATTGACAATTTGACACACGTAAACAATGAAATGAAATTTCCTTAATTTTATGCGGATGAAGTCACAAGAGAACGGCTAGTTCTCTCATAACGTTTCATTTGCATGTAGGGACACCGGACACCGGACACTGACCTCTGGCTGGCGAGCAGCTCCGCCCTGGTCCTGCTGAGCTCCTCGCCCACCGCCTGCTTGGCCTGTATCTCGGAGTGCAGCGACGACTGCAGCGTCA